AACAAGCCTCCACTGACAGATACGTGGTGGCTACATATGAAGCGCATTGGCTGGAAATCAAAGCCAGGTCTCCCACACGGAAGGTGAGAATTCTACCACTGAACTACCAATGCCTTTTTTGTTGTTGTTGTTGTTGTACTTTAAGCAGAAGTTTACAATTCAAGTTAGTCTCTCATATAAAAGTTTATACATAGTTAAGTGACCCTAATTGCTCTCCCTATTCTGTGACAGCACACTCCTTTCCACCCCATTTCCCGTGTCCCTTCAACCAGCTCCTAACCCTCTCTGCCTTCTCATCTCACCTCTGAAAAGGAGCTGCCCATTTAGTCTCATGTACCTACTTGAGCTAAGAAGCACACTCTTCACGATTATCATTTTATGTCCCATAGTCCAGTCTAATCTTTGTCTGAAGAGCTGGCCTCGGGAATGGTTTTAGTTGCGGGTTGACAGAGAGTCCGGGGGCCATGCTTTCTGGGGATCCTCCAGTCTCAGACCATTAAGTCTGGTCTTCTTACTAGAATTTGAGTTCTGTACCCTACCTTTCTCCTGCTCCATCGGGGACTCTATTGTGTTCCCTGTCAGGGCGGTCATTTGTGGTAGCCAGGCACCATCTAGTTCTTCTGGTCTCAGGCTGATGCAGTCTCTGGTTTATGCGGCCCTTTCTGTCTCTTGGGCTAATACTTTCCTTGTGACTTTGGTGTTCTTCATTCTTCTTTACTCCAGATGAGTTGGGACAAACTGATGCATCTTAGATGGCCACTCACTAGCTTTTAAGACCCCAGATGCCACTCACCAAAGGAGGATGCAGAACATTCTTAATAAACTATGTTATGCCAATTGACCTAGATGTCCCCTGAAAAGCATGGTCCCCAGGCTCCTGCCCCTGCTACTGTCTCTCAAAGTGGTTGTATTCAGGAAACGTCTTAGCTTGTAACACAGTCTTTATAAGAAAACCTCCAGTAGCACAAACAAATAAAAAAAAAAAAAAGAACTCAGAAAACAGACAACATGATTATCTGTGGAGGAAATACCACAGACTAAAAAAAAACTCCCTAATAAGTGAGTTTAGCAAGGTCGCAGGATACAGGGTCAACATACGAAATTCAACTGTATTTCTATATACCAACAATGAACAATTTCAATCTGAAATTTTAAAAAATTCCAACAGCACAAAAAAGTGAAGTTCTTATTAATAAATCTAACAAAGTATGTACAGGATATGTATGCTGAAACCTACAAAACACTGATCAAAGAAATCAAAGTTTTTTGTTGTTGTTGTTTTATTTAGAAGTTCTAAATACATGGAGAGAGATTTGTTAAGATAGCAGCTCTCCCCGGTCTGATGTATAGATATGTTACAATTATGACTAAATTCTCATCAAGATTTTGTGTAATGACAAGCTGTTTCTAAAATTTATATGGAAAAGAAAGGAACTGGAATAGCCCAAATCAATTGTGAAAAAGAACAAAGCTGAAGGACTTTCACACAACAAAATTTCAGTGTGGTACTGAAGAAAAGGATAGATGTGCTGACCAACGGAACAGGAACAGACCCACACAAATACTGTCAACTCACTTTTTAAAACAATTGAAGTATATTTACATATCATAATATTCACTTGTTTTAAGTGTACAATTCAATGATTTTTTTGGTAAATTTAGAGTTGTTCAACCATCACCACTTCCAATTTTAGAATATTTCCTTCACTCCAAAAAAGATTCCTTATGCCATTCCCACCCCCAGACTATTACTAATCTACTCTGTCTCTATAGATCTGTCAACTGATTTTTGACAAAGTTGTAAAGGCAATTCAATTGAGAAAGGACAGTACTTTCAATAAATGGTGTCTTAACAACTGGGTGCCCATATGCAAAAAGAACCTCGACAAATACCTGAGACCTTATTTGAAAATTAACTCAAAATGGATAGAAGATTAATTGTAAAACAGAAAACTACAAAACTTCTACATGAAAACACAGGAAAAATCTGCATGATCCTGGGTTTAGTAATGAGATCTTAGATATAGCATCAAAAGCCAAATCCAAAAAATTAATAACCTGGATTTTATGAAAATTAAAAACTTTTGTTCTGCAAGACATTGCTAAGAGACAAGCCACAGGCTGGGAGAAAATATCTGCAAAACATATACCTGATAAAGAAGTTGCATCTACAATATATAATAAACTGAATAAAAAAACACTTTAAAAAATGAGCAAAAGACATGAACAGGCATTTCACCAAAGAAGATATATGAATGGCAAATAAGCACGTGAAACGGTGATCAACATCATTTGTCATTAGAGAAATAAAATTTTCAAACCCAAGGAGATACTACTTCAAACCAGTAAGAACTGCTGAAATAACAACAAAACACCCTGACACTACCAAATGCAGGTGAGGATGTGTCGCTACAGGTACTCTCATTCATTGCTAGCGAGAATGCAAAATGGCAGTCACACTGGAAGACAGTTTGACAGTTCTTATAAACACATATACTTGCCAAATGACTCAGCAATCTCACTCCTAGATATTTACCCAGGCAAAACGAATATGTGTTCACATTGAAAACTTGTACATGAATGTTTACAGGAGCTTTACTCATAATCGCCAAACAATGCACACTAAGATGTCCTTTAACAGGTTAATGGATCAACAAACTTTGATACATCCATGTAATGTAATAACCCATTAACCCACTGCCGCTGAGTCGATTCTGACTCACAGTGACCCTATAGGACGACAGGGTTTCCAAAGAGTGGCTGGTGGATTCGAACCGCCGACCTCTTGGTTAGCAGCCACAGCTCTTAAATCACTGCGCCACTAGGGCTCCATGTAATGGAATACTCAGCTATAAAAAGGAACAAGCTATTGAACCATGCAACATGGATGAATTCTGGTAGGTGAAGAAGCCAGACCCAAAGTGCGACAAATTGTATAATTCCATCATTTATATGACCTCCTGGAAAAGGCAAAACTATAGGGATGGAAAACCGATTAAGTGGTTGTCAGGGGTTGAGGGAGGGGGAAGGGGTTGAGTACAAACGGGCCACAAAGCAAACTTCAGGGTGATGGAATTGTTCTGTATCGCACTGGGCTGGTGGATATATAACTATGCATTTGCCAAAACCCACAGTGAGTGATCTTTACTGAACATCAACAACAACAAAAAAATCAAACAGGATGTCCATCAACTGGATGAAACACAAAGTAGTAAGTGAATAACTGTATTACCAATGTATGTCATAACCTCAGTGAAGGCAGTGGGGAAAAAGGAGGCTGAGCTAAGTTACTCTGGAAAATGTTTGTATTTTGACAGGATACTGTAACGCTAATAACAACAAAAAAATACTTAAGCCCTGTACTCTATTTGGTCAGTGCGCTTCTCTCACAGGAGTGACTCAGCTATTCTGAAACTATTTTGAACACATAAGTAAATACATTGCAGATAGAAGGAGCCAGGTTTCTCACTGTCAGAAGCTAAAAAGAAGGAAGGAGGAAGGCTAGAAGGAACCCTGTTGTTGCTGGACTAGAGTCAGTATAAACTCATATTTAATTTTATACATACACAGATACAGAAATAATTATGTATGTATATAGACTGGTATACATATTTGTATTTCCGATCTCAGTTCACTGAAAAGTTCAGCCTAGAAGCAGTGACACTCCACTAGCAATGAGCATACCCAACACCCAGATCTTGATTTTGAAATACTATTCTCCAATAAAAGGAACCAGGGCTCCTTGGAGAAACGGCTGATTCTAGGGTTGGGGCTGGGAAAATACTGGCAGTGCCAGAAAATAGGAAACTGCCAGAAAAAAAAAAAGATGGGGCATGTCAAAAAGTCAGAGGAGGCAACCTGAAAAAGCTTCCAAAGGTCAAAGCTGGAACAATTTGCACAACAAAATAAATAACAGTATTAGACTGTAACCCAAAGACGAAACTAAACAGCCACACACCTATACAGTCATGCACTGCATAACGTCCATTTGGACACCATCCAACCGTATATATGTCCATGGTCCCATAAGGTTATAATAGAGTTCAGAAATTCTGATCAGAGAATGGGATGGCACTGGACATAACCCTTAAACAATTCCAAACCATGCAATGTTTACGTGAACGTCACAAAGTGTGCGTACATTCATTACTATGAACCATTGTAAGTATTTAAGTCAAATTTTGAACATAAGAGGCTTTATGGCAGTCCGTAACCCAGGGACTGTCTATATAATATGGTGTTTGCACAATGTCCAAATCACATACTGTCCTATTTAACAGAACATATCATGGACGTTAAGCAATGCATGACTATACTAATATGAATAAACGATCATATAAACACAAGAAAGGGACAAATTTCCTTTAAAGAACTGTAAATAATATATGTAGCTACTCTTCCCCCCTTGAGTGTGGGCTTAGTGACTCATTTCCAAAGAAGAGAGTATGGAAATGGCAAAAATACGAACAGTAGAGAAACCTAGCAGACACCACCTAAACCGATGAAGGACCATCACCAGTACCACCTACTGCCATCATGTACCCCAAAGATACACTGAGAAGAGCACATTACCCCTGTGGTGTTCTTCCTGGTGAAGTACAACCTCAGTCTAATCACGAGAAAACATCAGATAACCCACACTGAGGGACAGCCCACAAAATAACTGACTAATTCTCTCCAATAGCATCAAGGTCCCGAAAGACTGAGAAAGTGTCACAGATTGGACAAAACTAAGGAGACATTGATGACTACATGCACTGTGGTGTCCTGGACTGGATCCTAAACAGAAAACAGGCACAAGCAGAAAAACTGGTGAAAACCAAATGAAGTCTACAGTTTAGTCAACAGTACTGTACCAAAGGCCATTTCTTAGCTTTGACACGTGCCATGCATGTAAGGTGTTATCATTAAGAGAAGCTCCGTCTGGGTATACAGAACATTTTTGGACAATCTTTGCAACTTTTTTGTAAATTCAAAATTCTAAAATAAATAGTTTACATTATATATTAATATATATATGAAAAACACAGCACTTAAAGCACAGCTGTACTTAAAGGGACTTACGGAAGATTATACACATTTTCACATTAAGTTGATCAATACCACAGTTTATTTGTAAACATGTTATACGTGTCAATAATCAAACTGACAACACTTTTATACACTTTATTGTATAATATTAACATCATACCAGAAAACAATCCACTGTACTCAGTTACAGTTTTGGTACTTTAAAATCTTTAAATACAAACTGTATTTGAAACACTGAACATAAAACAAAGATATGAGTGGCAGAGAAACTATAAACATCAAGGAACAGAAACCAACATTCCTCCCCAAAAGAAATGCAAAATCATCTGATTACATATTTAAAAAAAGAAAGAAAGAAAAAATTACGGAAATCAGATGATCATACTTTTTTTAAAATGACATGAAGTAGCATTTCTTGAGACCCACTTGAGAAGTGAAATTGTACCACACTAACTTCCCTGTCCTTTTTGATGTTTGTTCTTCTTTCTCTTGGCTTCTAAAGAATGTGTGCCACGGTTTAAGCTACACTAAAGGGAGGAGGGGGGTAGGGATAAGGTGGCACAAAGTCAAATGAAATCATTTTAAACATTTGCAAAAAATAAGAAAATCGGATAAAAATTAATGAATCTTCTTTGGCAAATAATAAAGTTTATATTTTAAATTTACGTTTTCATTGAATTGGATCAGCACTTTTAAGATTTAAGAGATGCGTTTTTACATGAGTTAATGTATGAATGAACTAAAGACAAATTCACAAGGCAAAGCACGAAAAGAGCAGCATTTCACACTCTGCTAACAACTCTAAAATGCAGATCCTCCCTCCTTATGAGAACAAGAGGTCTTCAGCTGGAAACCAGATGATTACTCTTCCTTTACTCACGCAAAAAACAGACTTGGCCCCTTTTCTTAAAACACTTTCTCTAAAATTCATGATCGTATTAGGCTCTATTTTTTTCCTCCAATCTCTCTCAAAGGAGATATAGCAGCAAATCACCCTCATATTTTAAGCTTTAAATTTACCAACAACTGGGTTCACTGCCGGCAACTACAAACACTCATTCTTTATTAGTGTACGTCATTCCATTAGACTTAAGATTGTTAATACATGAATAAATAAAATAACTATAGCTAATTTGAACAAAGCAAATGAAAACGAGATTAAGAGCCCTGATCAAATGAAGCACTTGACAACTTTCAGTGGAAAAACCGTAAAAGTTACATACATACCTAATAGCACTAGGAATGTACAATACCAATTACTGGAAAAATAAATGAGTGATTCACAGTCATAAGAAATTATTTTAATATTAGTATGCACTTTTCCTTTTATAGACAAACATTTATAACGTACACTTGGTTTCTACCCCATATAAGATAAAGTAGAAAACTAAACGTTCCTGCATTAATCCCGAACACAGCACTGGCTGTGCCACAGGTAGCCTGGTCCTAAACAGTCGATCCTATAGAGAAGTCATGGTATTGAATGCATGGTTAACAGTTTTAAGAAAGGCATATATTTCCTGAAGTATGTTAAATACACAAATATCAGTTCTATAAACAACAAAAAATTATCAGCAAAAATGTTTAGGTTGTAACATTCCCAAATTCTATAATGCTTTAAGTGTTTTAGATACATGTTGTTTGACCAGTTAGTTGGGTTACAGTTTTAAACTAGCCAACAATCCTTACTCTATAGAGGAGCTAAACTAAACTACAACACTGCACAAACTTCCTAAGGAAGTTAACTTGAAAAATCGAAAAAGTGATTCCAATTATTCTAATTAACATTTGCGATACTAAAAGAATCAATGACCCAAGAAACACTTAGAAGTTACTTAGAAATTATGCAATTTTTCTTTATCATTTTCCTCCAAAACTATTCACATAAATTTAAGATTCAGATTCTTAAGAATATATCTTCAAAGTAGGCTTATCACTAGAGTGTTTTGATCAGAAGACATAGACCTAGCGCTTCTAATGTGTAATTTGAACCTAAATCACAATCCTTGGTTTGAAAACATCAAATTCAATTTCATAACAATTCATTGTTACAGCTACTCAACAAAAATCAGGGTGAAAACGTGCAGCAGCCACAGCTACTAGAGTGGGAAAAAAATTCTATTTTCCATAAAGACTCTGAAAAATATAAAGCCCAGAGTGAGTGACAACAAATGTCCACATAGAAACACTGTTTAAAAATAGAATGTTTTCCAAAGCTTTTTGTGAGATGTCAATGAATCGTTAAGACCTTATAAATCAAGATTAAGTTATACATAACTATGCTGATTTACATACCTTCAACATTGTTCAACTGATATACATAATTTACAGACATCCACAGGTATCCTTAATGCCCCATCATATCGTCTCTCAATACTGGATGTTTACTTTACAGTTTTGCTACTTTAAGTATCAAGAGGCCTTTTTCAGAGGAAGAGTTCCATCTCTTCCCATGATCCCTTAGAATGTAGGTAACAAAATATAAAATTAAACAAGATTTATGTTTGATAAACTAACATATAAAATTACCATTGCAATATTCATAGTGACTGCTTATAAACGTAACAGTCATCATAAAGCCTATAAAGTATATCCTCAGTTTTATAAAAGAAATGCAGATTGTCTCAAGGTAAAAAATACAGTGCTGGCTGCTAAAAAGCTCTTTGTTGCATTAGGATGTGCAATAATGAACAAAACTTCAGAAAACATTAGCATGTTCCCCAAACTTTGAACATCATTTAAGCAGGAACTGCACTGCAGCAGCAGGATGCTTTTTAGTGGCTGGCCCTATAAAGCTAAAGCTAAGAAAGAAAAAGGCAGAACGGGTGAGCAACAAATGCTGGAACCGAATTATTGCAAATGGAGGTTAGCAATACGAAGTGAGGAAGGTGACCGTCCACTCCATTCTGATAGGATTCCATCTTTAAATATTAAGTTCTTTGCAGGAAGTGGAACTCCCATATCGGCATAGGATGACTGGGAAAACAAACTTGGAAAACTGGCCTCTGTGTGAATATCCAGTGTTGAAGCACCTTCCTAAAAGATCAAGAAACGCGAGAAAATTCTATAGCCAACAATTGAGTAAAACCACTTAATATAATGGAGTATGAGAAACGATACTTCCCTACATAACCCACTTAGGTTCAGGGGGATCATTTAGATGGTAATGAAAAAAGCATCAGATTTTCTACGTTTATTGCATTCTTGTAAAATTTCTATTTTTGTTAATTTTTAGAATATACATAATTTACTGGTGCAATAGTGTATATGTAATAAACACACCTTTATTAGGGATATATGGTAATTTTTTTTTAAAGGAAAAGAGTGCTCTGCTACCAACATCTCTCACTTGACTATTACAACAGCCTCTTAACTGATCTTGCTTCCACTCTTGCCCCTTTCTAAATCTATTCCCCAAACAGTAACTAGAGTAATATTTTAAAATAGTCAGTCAGAAGTCATGTGACTCTCCGGCTTAAAAGCCTATTTAATAGGTTCTCTTTTGCACTATGCATAAAACACAAACTCTTTGATATATTCCACAAGGCCCTGCCCTTCTCTTCAACCTCACCTCTCGTCACCATCCCTCTTTACAAGGCTTCCGTCACACTGGCATTCTTTTGCTTCCTTGTACACCGAGTGCTTTCCTGACACAGGACCTCTGCACCGACCAAGCCCTGAACCCTCTTTTCCATTCTTTAGGTTTCAGCTCATATATCATCTCCATTTTCACACCTATCTAAATTAGGTCTGCCTTTGGATTTGCTGTCATAGTTTGGCTCCTTCAATGCACTTATGGAAATCTGTTATCATTTACGTATTTTAACGGTGACCTGATTATTGTCTCTCTCTGACAACACTATCAGCTCCATCAGTATCTTACACATCAGCACCTGGCACAGGGTCTGGCATAGAGGAGCTACTCACATATGTAATGAATGGTGAATGAAACAAAACCCCAAAATACAGAAGATTTCCCAGTGTTGGAGTGGATATTCTCAACAGAATGTTCCACTGGAATAGTCTATCTATCTATCAAGTCTAGAGCATCCTTTCTTTCCCTGGGTGGCGGGGGAGGAGGACAAAAGATACTGAGCACTCAGCACTGTCCTTCACTACAATAGCGGACGACTCCCAGTGGAGACTCACTGCAGTTGTATTAATGAAAGTGTGCCATACTCGAAAACCAACACCTATAGCACGGTGTGGCCACAGTAGATGCCTAACACATTTCTGCTGAATGAAGCACTGGCACAGAACTAAGAGCCCAAACTTTAGACTCTGAAGAGCTCGCCAGTGACATCACGTGTGAGTCAATCAGAAAATCTTCATTTATAAAATGAAGAAAATTTTTTTTTTATGTTTTGCTGTTGTGGAGACTCAAAAGCAAACATGGAAATGTCTCGCATGCTACTACAAAGCGCTATAAAACACCAATTAGATATTTTCTTACCTGGAATGAGTGAACAAAGTTAAGGACTTGTAGAGAGAGTTTTCTACTGGAATGTAAGAGGTTTTGAAGGCTGAAAAAAAGGGAGAAAAGGAGGTAAAAATAAATATAATGACAAGAACTAATATCTTACAACCGTTTATGCAATTTAAATGCATTTACATATGTATACATAATCCTACTAAGTCACATAAAATTTTTTGAAAAACAATTCCAATGCTTCTGGTCAATGAAATTTCTGCATGGTTTAGTAATAACAGAAAGTAATGCATTAATGAAATGAAACATCAGTATAGCTAAAGTAGAAAAGTTATTGTTAAAGAAAGTTTAAATTAGTAGATATTATGAAAGAAAATTTTTAAAATGAAGACTTAGGCACTTTGAGGGATGACAACTATCATAAACCAGAAAACCAAACCCTTTGCCGTTGAGTCGGTTCCGACTCACAGTGACCCTATACGACAGAGCAGAACTGACCCATAGGGTTTCCAAGGAGCACCTGGTGGATTCGAACTGCTGATCTCTTGATCAGCAGCCACGGCTCTTAACCACTGCGCCACCAGGGCTCTGGCAACTATCATACAAACTTCAAATATCCAAATCAATTTAAAATACAACCCAATAAAATTTCACAGACATCTTCTCACCTACATGAAATCTTTCAATTTGAAAATATGTAAATTGTTAATGATTATAATGGTGATCATTAACACTTTGTAGCATTTCCACTTTTCAAAAAGTGTTCACGTATGTTACTTTTCAGAGGATAGGTGTTAAAATTACTTGTCAGTTGAGTACTTAATTTTCTGATATAAGTTACCTAAATCCCCCTCCACACCATCCCAATGACAATCAGATTCAATGATATTCTTTTCTGCTAACCCAAATAGTCTCAGAACCTTTACAACACTGCCTCTTAGCAGCCACTCCCGATGGATCAGATTTGGTATATGAGATAAAACCTACATGTTGTCTCTGATACTACATGCTTATTTTTAGGAAATGTGGAAAGTGAAGAAAATTTGGAAAGTCAGCCACAACTCGAGGACAAAAGACAATTACTACTAATACAAGTTAAGCATGTGTGGCTAACTACCTCTAGGAACAACTGCCTCCTTTGCCATGAAACCAGAAGAAATGGATAGTGCTTGGTTACCATTACTGAACATTTTGATCAGATTCTATAGAAGAATCCCGATCAAAAGAGGGAAAATGCAGAACAGAATTTTAATTTCTCACGGACTCCAGACTTTCTGGAGCCATAGAGGTTGGATGAACCCCTAAAACTATTGCCCTGAGATCATCTTTAAACCTTAAACCAAAAATATCCCCTGAAGTCTTCTTAAAACCAAACAATAGTTTAGCTTAACTAGTAAAGAACGTCTGCCTTGAGCATTATGCTTTTTTAAGAACTAGCTATATAGGATCAAAGTGACAACAGCAACTCGAAAGATTAGATAGGAACCTAAAAGGGCAGTGAGTTTATGTCAATGAAGGAGGAACAACTCAGAAAAGGAGGGCAAGAATGGTTATACAACTAAAAGAATATAATCAATGTCACTGAATTGTACATGTAGAAACTGTTGAATTGGTATATGTTTTGCTGTGTGTATTCTCAACAACAAAACAAACAAAATTAAGAAAAGAGGGAGAGAGAACAGTACACAAGAGAAATTTTCTATACACAGTTATATATTAAAAAAAACTAGGATCATATTCCATATAAGCATGCCTGTTTCACCACACCCTCACCAAAACCGGGTAACTAAGTAAATATACTGTTAATTATAATTACCCAAAACACGTGCCCAAAATGTTTGTGTGCCTAATTTCTGATCTACTAAAGTTCAAATCCTTTAAACTAGCGATTTTTATTCAATCAACAAATATATACAGGGTAATTATTATGTTCCTGTGTGGAATAAAAGAAAGAATGGTAACTAGTGAGTTTAAAAAGCTAGTAGATGAAAAGATGACAATGAATATAAACTCTCACCTCTCTTGTCTGCAGAGGCCATGTGTAGCAATCTTCTTACAAACTTTCCGATTTAACTCAGAACTAAACAGTGGAATTCCAAAGCATAATTCCAGAGGAACCCAATCTGCTTCTATTGTGGCAACTACAAAAGGATACATAAGCTCATGATTTTAACCACACATATACATTACATCACCAACCAGGGTTCCTTAACCTGAGGTCCAGAGACCCCTCCTGCCCAAGTGATATCCATTAATGGGTTTGGCAGGGGAAGGGGCCTTACAGGAGGCCACTAAATCTCTGAAACAGGGTATTTTTTGAGTATGTACATGTTTCTGGGGAGAAGGTACATCACTTCCAACAGATGTTCAAAGTGGTCTTTTGCCCAGAAAGGATATCATAAGACATCTACAAAATGAGAGAATGGACCAAAATACTTAACACAGGAATAATCAGGTCATATTTTTATAATACTTTCTGAATGTACAAAACATTTCTAAGAAAATACCTATTAAAAGGTCCACTATGGATACTACAAACAGACAAATGACATCCAAATGACTTAACTGAAAAGTTAAAATTTAGAAATCAGTCTAATAAAATTGTAAACAATTTTTAACACCTTACCAGAGTTCTGCTTTGTTGTTGAATCTATAGTCACTTCCTCAATGACCATTTCAAATGACTCTGTGCTCCCATTTACATCTGAGCCAGAAGCCAAATCAGGTTCTCCTTGTAATTCAGAGGACATATACAATATTAGGACTCTAGTAGTCAACATAAATTGTCAATAAATCAGTCCTAAGCCTAACATAAACAGGGTTACAGGCAACAGTAATGAAAATGGAAAAAAAAAAAGATTAGTCTTTGGCCTAAAGCCATGGTTTGGTCATCATGACTGGGGGAGTGGAATGCTACTGGTATCTAGGGATGCTGAATAGTCTACAATGCATGGGACAGCCTCCCATAACAAACAATCATCCAGCTCAAAACGTCAATAGTGCCAAGACTGAGAAACCCTGGCCTAAAGCAACCAAGATTGAAAAAGCAGAACACAAGCTTAGACTTTCGCTTAGATCATTACTAAAGTCTCTTAGCTGATTTCCTAGCTTCTGTTCAAGCTGCTTCTAGGTCTCTTCTATACTATCATCCCTACGGAAATCCACAGTCAGATTAAGATTACGTTAAACTCAAAACCAATTACTTCCATTCAAAGAACCCAGCTATGACTAACCTCTCTCATCGGAGGCATCACTGAGTTTTCTGTTTGCAAGCTGACTAGAAGCATTCAGCATGGTGACGTAGCCACAGAAATGCTGCAAGTCCACCTTGTTCCTTAGTATCTGCAATGCTTTATGAACACCCATGTTGACACGAGTAAACTCTAAGAAACAAAGAGGTGACATCACATCATAAGTGAATAGTATTAGGACACCAAAAAACCTTAAATATGCTTTTCTTTTACTAAACAATTCTTAGGACTACTTTTGTACTTATTTATACTTTTATCTAGCAACATTCATTTCAATGAAGAAATATCTGTGAATGCAAAAGGATGCTGTACACACAGTCTCCAGGAGGCGTTTATTGTATCAGAACAATTATCTGCTTTTATGTAAGCAAATGGAAACCCTGGTGGTGTAGTGGTTAAGAGCTACAGCTGCTAACCAAAAAGTCGGCAATTTGAATCCACCAGGTGCTCCTTGGAAACTCTGTGGGGCAGTTCTACTCTATCCTATAGGGTCGCTATGAGTTGGAATCAACTCAACAGCAATGGTTTTTTTATTTTTTATGTAAGCAAATAGGGCCAGTCAGCGGTAAATTCTCCAGGTTTCTCTGTGTGTTTCTAGTCTACCTCAAATACTTATTTGGGGAGCTTCTACCCAAAATTTATTAAATACACATTATATATATATTTTTTAATTTCAGGAAAGTAAAATTATTCTTATTGAAACTAAAGCTAACAATATACTTGCAACCATATCTCTAATTAGATATTAGCTCGAGTTCTCATAAATGTGTGAAGTTGCACAGATGTTCTATATCCAAATATGAAAATACCTCTTTTTTACAATACATACAATAATCTCCCAAGGTAAGGAATCCACTAATCAGTTCCTGAGGTTTCATAAATGTTAAGATTCTGTCGTCACTATCTGTATCTTCAGGTGGACAATGGTTTTTTTTCTGTAGAATTTATAAAGTATTATAGGAATGAATGGCAAGGTTTTGTTTCAGAAAAACACTCATTTCTGAATAGGAGCTACTCTTTGGAAGAAAAAATTCTCTTTGTTCTTATTTATTCCTAACAGTCAGGAGAAAGAATCTCAAGTATAAACATGAGGCTTTTACAGCCTAGCCAAGTGAAGAGAAAACGGTATTTATAAAATTTTTCTTCCTTTCTCTACTTTGAGGTAGGGGACAGTGATGGCTAACATTTTGGAAAACAGTAAGTTCTTTTATGAATTAACATATGTTAAATTACTTGAATCATTTGCTGCTCTCTAAAATCCATGAGACGAGAAAATTAAAGTACAACAGTTTTGCATGGAGCAATAAATAGAAGTGCTATTAAATATACATACGTTTCAATCAGATAGTATTTTTCTTCTGAAAACAATTTCTTGACATTCAACAGTGAATGTCATTAGTAAAAGGAAAATGAACTTGCTTTTACAGACATTCTCTGAATATCTTCCATCAAATGTCAGTTAGCTCACATCCAATTCCAGAAAAAGAAATATTAAACAGGGCTCCCTTCCCCATCTTGATTCAAGCTAATTTAATTATAGCTCAAAACCTTGCATCCACTCAAATTCTAACAACAAAAGAAAAATTTAACAGAAAAAATAAATGGTTAGGCAGGAAATGCATGCGAGTGCTCTGTAAATGGTTAAGGTAGTATACAAATGTTCATTAGCACCCAGTTCTAAATTAACTTAAAAAAGAAAAAAACTTGACTAGAAAAGTAAAATATGAAACCACTAAAATTCTAGCATCAGTCTATATGTGTATATTGTACACATATGCAGACTGATTAATCTGTAAAATGACAAGGTAAACTTTGCTTTGGATACTTTAAAAAGACATCCCACCCTCACCCAGCAAAAATAGTACATACTGGTAGGAAAAATCAACTTTCTAAGCATAAAATCTCTCCTATGACTTGTCTTTTCTCCAACTCCCAAACAAACAATAAAAGGAAACTAAAAGGCTAAGCATACAGAAAATCTAGTCCTCCATTTAGGCAGTATCTACTTATTCTCTTCCTCTCCGAGACAGACAGACAGACTAGTATTCTTCCAAAGATCCTAAATAGGTCTTCTCATTCTCAGGAAAAGGCACATGACAGAAACCTACCTTTTGCCAGTATGCTCTAAAAGCAGAACGATAAGGCCCTAAAACTTAAAGATTTTAAGGAGTCACTTCCTGCTGTTTTCCACCAAACTGCTGCCATGATTAATGATAAAGAAGTCAGATGGATACAATTCAAAAGTAAGGTACCTCCATGTAGTTCTGTTTCATCAAATGGAAACGGTATATGGATAGTTTCTCCTATCCCATGCAAACCATGTCCCTAAATATAAAGAAACAAAAGGTGAAAGATATTAAGAAAAACCTGTATTTCCAATAACTGATATTCAAAAAATGAGTAAGATTGTGCAACTGACATTCCACATTAATACTCTATCAAAATGCTTTCAACAATTTTCTATTTTTCTACAGCAAGCGAAGACATCTTATGTGTATATTAACCTACAAGGCTATGTTTCTCAAAGTAGGTCATGGATTACTGGAAAAAAAAAGAAGGCGATTTAACAAGTAAATCACTTGTTGGCCACATGAAGACTGGATAATGTCCCTGTGCACTTGCACAAGGGTCAGCTGTGGTTCTAACAGAGACGGTGGTAGAAGAATCCCCATAATCACATGGCATACCATGGACTAGGAATGCAAAACTCAAAAACCTGCACTGAAATGACATTTATACCAAGTTATTTGCTGGAACATTATAATTATAAATAAATGGAAACCACAAATTGCTCATCAATAGGAGATTGGTTAAATAAATTATAGTACATAATTTTTCAATGCAGCTGCAAAATAGTCACAGTATTTCTTAAATCCATCTTTTCCTTTCAATTCTTATTACCACCTCTCTTATCTGAACAAATACATAGAATCTTAATTGTCCTCTTCTCACAGTGACCCTACAGAAGAGAGCAGAACTGCCCCACTGGGTTTACAAGCAGTGGCTGGTGGATTTGACCTGCTGACCTTTTGGTTAGCAGCCAAGCTCTTAACCACTGCACCACCAGGGCTCCAAGTGTCCTCTTGCTTCAGGCATCTACCTGTTCTCCCATCCATTCTCAACGCAGTGCCCAAACTGATCTTCCTGAAACACACCTGACACATTAATACCCCGCTTAGCACCCTCTCATGGTTGCCATACCCTATAGGTTAAAGACTAAGCACTACAGCAGGACATACACAGTACACTACACTCCAGAGCCTGACCTTGTAAGTCTCCAGACTCATCTCTGACCATGACAGACTATAAAGGTCTTAAACAGACTTTCTTATTCTATCAGTTCTTTGCAGAAAAAGGCAAATTCCAGAAAACTATCTTTTAACAATACTCTTTAATAGCAGAATGGTAAGACCCTAAAATTTGTATGAAATGTTCAGAATAGGCAATTCCAGAGAGGCAGAAAATAGATCAGCAACTGTTTAGGGGTAGGGGGAGAGGAGAGTAAGAGGATAATAGCTAACGGTTTTCTTTTTGAGGTGATGAAAATGTTCAAAAATTGACTGTGTTGAAGGTTTCACGTACTTGTGAGTATACTAAAAACCACTGATTCTGTACACATTAACAGAGTGAATTACATGGTATGTGAATTATATCTCAATAAAACTTTAATGGTCACACAGCTAGCAAAAGGTGAGGCTGGAAATCAAACCTGGTTCTAACTTCAAACTCCATATTGTTTCTACTGCCCTTCACTGCTGCTAGACAAAGGGCCAGGACTAAAACCCACATCTCTGATTCCTTACACTTCAGCTTTATAAATTTCTAATTACTAGACAAATTACGATCTAAAACATAAAATCCAGTTTATTTAAAATAAGGTAACAGTACCTGAATTAAAACTGCAGAATGTGTTAAAGCATCATTCAACATTGTGAGCACATTTGAAGTAGGAACTACCCCAGGATCATGACCCCAAGATGTTATTAGTAATCGATCATAACCCTATTGGAATGAAATAAATGAGACATAAATGGCATTCAGAAACAAGAAAACAATTAAGAAAATAATCTATAATACTGCTCATCTATTTCTATCGTCCTCAAAAGTAAAAACAACAACAACGAAAAACCTCACACATCATACCTGGAATATATCTGGCAGTTTTCGAAGTCTTGTACCTTTGGACAGTAAGAGAGATGGTGGTCCTTGCCCAGTGATATGGTAAACGTACAGTTTAAACCAGACAGAACTGACTTCTGGGATAGCTGGTCCAATATGCTACAATCACAAAACAGGTAAGATAAAGTAGTAATACTTATCTAAAGTAGCCAAATTTCATAACTGACCAGGCATAGTCCTATATATACAGCTAATGCCTGGTATCAATGGTCATTTCTATGATCCTTATGAAAATAAATGCTAAACGTTCTATTCAAATAGTTACCATTTTATACTGGAATTAAGAATGCATGTTTTATCACTGCCATTAGGAGCATGGACTCTGAAGCAGACTGCCTAGGTTTGAATCTTGACCCACTACTTCAGCCATATCACCTTAAGAAGGTAACTTAACCTCTCTGTGCCTCATTTTGCTCATCTGTAAAACGGTCATAAAATATCTGCCTCATAAGGGCATTGCAAGGTTGTTCAGGAAGGTTTAAAATAACACCTGGCATGGAAGCTCTATACCAGTGTTGGCTATTATTATGATTAATGACATACAATTTCTCACAAAAGGGACCATCTATCCATCCATCGATCCTACCATTCATTTGGACAGTTAATGGATTCCTACTATGCCTACAGGTTGTGTTAAAGAATAGAAGGAAGGAGAGGGAGAAGGGGTGGGGACCAAAAAAAATTATTTAAAGAAAGGTTGGTAACTGCCAATTTACTCTTGTTGAATACAGAGGACAAAATTAGAGCGGGGAGACGCTACTCACCGAGGCAACTAGCACATCACAGGCAGGCAACAAAGTGAGCCCCTACAACATCCCTTCCTTTCTTCTACACTGTGAAACCCTGCACACTTCTAGAAAACCAGGCAGCAGGAAGCACTGAAGAATAGCGACATAACCCTCACTCTGAAAATGATATAGGCCACAACTTTCTTGCTAAGCATACACATTTAATGCAGCTAAATTATTTTTAAATGCAACTATTTTTAAAAAGTAGAAGATGCGGAGCAATTTTCACACGTAAATTCTACAGTTAAATAACTAGAGTTCTAGCTTTCAAGCACAATATCTTCTTTTCAGCTTATTCACGATCATAAAGCCTAATTTCTAAAACAATTTTCCTAATAAAATTTATCTCACCACTGAAGACAATCTAGGCTTCCTTCTTACAGCATCCAAGAATATTCTCCTTAAAATATATCTATGGATAAAATTTTAATCTGATGTGTCACAAGTCACTAGATGATACATAAATATGCCAAATATACCTAAGAAATTGAACATAACCTCATCACACACAGCATAAAATACAAAATCGCTTTCTGGGCTGGTACTTTTAGAACCTGATATCTGCGAATTGAGAATTAATGAAATAGGACTGTTAAACCACTTCTTCTAGTCACCGTGGGAGAGAATGACATTATGGCACTTCTGCTCTTCCATGTGGGTCTTTACCTGAGGGGTGCAGCTGCTGATGGGCCGGATTTCATTGGTAAGAGGAGCCATGGAAACAAGCAGAGTGTAATTTTTGTTTAGAACTCGGCTGCAAGTTGCAGGGTCCAAACCAAGAAGGCTTTCACAGCGTAAGAGATCCAGAGGAAAACCTGTGTGCATACACACAGAATGAAAGACTGATAATATGAAACGAAAATGTTAAAATACTGATAACTTCCTTGAGATTTTAAATTCTTTTAAAAAGTTAGAATAATTCTATTAAGAAGTGCCAAATTTCCTAAGCAGATCAGTAAGGCACTCTGAGATCTAAAACTGACAGTCTCTATTTTCTGGTCTAGCAGGGTAACAGTGCCGTTGAGTCTTCAGGCTAATTTTCACTTTAAAAAAGGCAAGAATGGGCTTGCTGTACCTGACTCCCTCTCTTCATTCCCAGCCACTCCACGATGGTGGCATTATCTGAAAGCTTAAGTGCCACGAGAAAACTGTGTCCTCCTCTCCCTCAATTTTCAATCACTGGCTGAGCATTAAAATCATCCTTTTAAAAAAATACACATTCCTTGACTGCCACTCCAGACCTCAAGACCCACTGAATCAGAATCTCTGGAGAAATTCTGACACCATCAGCCTGACTAAAGTTTGGGATTCCCTACCTACCATAGTGGCACATGGTTAAGCACTCAACTGCTAAGTGAAAGGTCGGCAGTTCAAACCCACCTAGTAGCTCCACAGGAGAAAGACCTGGTGATCTGCTTCTGTAAAGATTACTGCCTAGAAAATCCTATGGGGCAGTTCTACTAACAACAACCAGCCATAAAACTGAAAGTGCCCACTAGGGTGACAACCACGTGAGAGAGCACAATCAGTACCTTAAAACTGCTACTGCTTCCTTCTTTTACCTTTTAAAAGAAAATGATCTTTTCTCCTTTTTGTTTTTTAAAAGTGAAATATTTTAGTAAATATTACAGCAGCATATGAATATTTTCATATGCTAGAACCTTTATTCCTTGAATTTTTTGCTTCCTAAATTAACTAAATTATGATATTTGTTCATTCACTCAGAACTAATGCCTGTTCTCAATTCCATCCAGCTATGTAAAAAAAATTAACACGCCAACTCTTTTTGTAGGTACTAAAAAAAAAAAAAACCAAACCCGTTGCCATTGAGTCAATCCCGACTCATAGAGACCCTATCGGACAGAGTAGAACTGCCCCCTAGGGTTTCCAAAGAATGTCTGGTGGATTCGAACTGCCAACCTTTTGGTTAGCAGCCGTAGCTCTTAACCACTATGCCACCAGTGCTTCCTTTGTAGCTATTAGACAGATTTAAATACTACAGATGTAAGTGGCACATGAGAAGAGACGAGAAAAAGTAAAATAAGGTAAAAAAACAGCTGACAAACATCACAAAACAAGTCTCTTGTTTTTAACTCAATATACTGTCTACACAAAATGTATTAAAGCAGTGATGATTAAATAAGTGAACACGATCTGTTTAATTTCTTAGAAAGGTGTTTCATAAAATCATGTCTTCAAAATTAAAGTCTATTCATCATACCACAACTGGGTTGGTCTGGCTGTGCGGTCTGTGCAACCAGGTCCTTATTATGACGCAAAAACAGTATTGTGTTTCTCAGAGTAAGTGCATGATCAAAATACCTCTGTGCTTCTCCTTCACCAGTGCTCTGAACCTAAACCAAAAGGAAATGAATTATGCAACAGATACCACTCTCATGCCATTCACTCTGGTATATAGCTATACAATACAGAGATACTAAGACATTATTAAAAATAAATAAATCAAAAATTTGCCCAGGTACCCCAAGAGTATGGCCCCCAGACACCCTTTTAGCCCAGTGGTGAAGTTATCTCCGAGGTTCACCGTTCATCCTGGGAGTGGACAGTCCCATAAAACCAAATGAGACTAACGAGGTACAGCAGCAGTCCAGTGACAAGGGCCAGAGGGCAGAAGGGGACAAGGAAGCTGGTGATAGGGAACCCAAGGTTGAGTAAGGATATTGTTGATGTGTTGGGAGATTGTTAACCATTGTCATAGGGCAAAAACTATTTTGTTCTGTAAGCCTCCATCTTAAGTGAGAATAACAGCACAATTGGAAGAGCATAGTCAATGTCACTGAACTGTGCATGTAGAAATTTCTGAAATGGTATATCTTTGGCTATGTGTATTTTCACCAAAAAAAAAGTTGAGAAGTTAAGAGGGATGACATGTTGTGGGGTTGTTAACCAACGTCATAAAACAATATGTGTACTACTGTTTCACGAGAAACTATTTGTTCTGTAAGCCTTCACCTGAAGTACAATAAAAAAATTAAAAAAAAATAAAAAATTTGCCCAGGTAATAGTGAAACGATATTAACCCCAATTTTGGATGACTTTCCAATTCTATTACATCTATGAAGATGGTACAAATTATTCCAACAAGTAAAACTAACAATTTTAGCAAGTGAGTAATGCTAAATTATACCACTTCTATAAATTACACCATTTATATATGTCCCACAGATGATTCAAACGGGGTGATTAAAAAAAACCCCAAGATCCATATTCTGCTTCATTAAGAAAAGTACTCCAATCTATGGTCACTAATTACACCTCTAATTCTGAACACCCTGGCCACAATTTTGTATCATTAGCACAAAGGACATGGAACCCTGGTGGCACAGTGGTTAAGCACTCGGCTGCGAACCGAAAGGTTGGCAGTTCAAACCCACCAGCCAGTATGCAGGAGAATGATGTGGCAGCCTGCTTCTGTAAAGATTACAGCCTTGGAAACACTATGGGGAAGTTCTACTCTGTCCTACAGGGTTGCTACTGACTCGATGGCAATAGGTTTCGGCAACAGGTTAGTCACAAGTGATACTGGAGTATGTGATTCAACATAGCTATTCAACCATTCCTGTAAACACAGCTTTAATTCATTCAACAAGGATTTACTGAGTGCCTACTATGGGCTATGACCTAAGAGATAAAAGAGTAGAGGACAAAACAGACAAAACCCCTGCCTTCACTGGACTTACATTTTCATGCATGCTTTTCTGACTGAGTCAGTCACCTGTTTAATACGTGAAAGCACATACATTCCAGAAATCAGAAGGATAGTCTACTGGGGGTGGGGTGGGGTGGATAAGTGAATTAAATTTGTCTAATGAGATGAACCAATTGAGTTTAATGGAGATCATGCTTCTTAAAAAATAGATAAGAAATCATTTTCAAAAAATAAACTCCAGATTAAAAGGATTTTCCAAGAATGAGATGCGGAAAAAGAAGTACAAATGTGTGAATGAGTAAAAAGCCATCTTATAGTCTTGCAATTTCCTACATTTGATAAAAGACATTGAAGCAGGAAAAATAAAAATCAGCCAGAATTTAAAATGTGCTAGAACACAGTAAAAAATTCACTGGCAAAAGATAATGCACAATAAGAAACAGACCAATTAATAATAAGAATTATTTCAAATCAATTTTTGCATTAATAAAAGTGAAAATCCTAGGAAGAAGCAGCAGTAAAAAATGTTAGTCTTTTTTTTTTAAAGAAATAAAGGAATTAGAGAGTCATCACTAACTCTCTAAACAGATGTTACTATACACAGCTCACTGCTAAAGCACAAAAAGCACCAAAATTATTAGTCAAGGAACAGGTCAGGTGCACCAACTGTCCGCATACAAAGAGGAAGAATATGACTGACGGAAGTATCAGGGGAATGAAAAACGCCAATAAGGACAATTTAGATTTAGAGCTAAGGAAAACTAGGGTGGTACTCATGGGGGAAAACATGGTTAAGATCAAATATGGCTGAAGTCCTCAAGATGCTAAAAGGGACAGCAAGAGTGGACATAAATAACTACGACACCAGGGGACATTGTTCCAGACTTTAAAATAAGTGGAAGACAATGCTTTAGAGGTGATCTTAGAGAGTCATACCAGATAAAGATGAAAGGCTACTTCAGAAAAATTTGTTTTTAAAAGTTACACACACAGACCAAGATTTCTGTAAATCATTTCTTCATAGTTACACTAAATTATGCTGAGTTATATGAGGTAGATATATCACTATAAACTCACAAAATTCATTCATCTACTCAATATGTTTACGTCTAAATACCGTCGGAGTATCAAGGTGGGGAATGAGGTAGGAATGAGCAAGAACATACCAGAAAGCCATTATAATCAACAGAAAGGCCTAACTGATGTTTTATCAAGTCCCACTACCTGCAATCTAGATTTACCTTTTCCAGTTCTATAAGAAAGCTGTCCAGAGACTCATCTGACAGCTTGCCAACTTCGAACATTGTGACTGCATGACTTTTCAAGTTCTGTAATAAAGAAATACAAAATGACTAAAATTTACCTTACACAAATCTATCATTAAAGTTGTAGTTTTCCCTTTTATGTTAAAAATAATATATTTAAATTATGCTTTCTGATATATTTAAACTTAAGGGTGGGTGAGACAAGGGGCTGATTCTTCAAATTACAAAAGTAACCCTCACTAAAAAGTTATTACACCTCTCTAAGGAATGTAATAAAGAGCCCTGGTGGCACACTGGTTAAGCGCTTGGCTGCTAACCAAACGGCTGGCAGTTCGAATCCATCAGCCACTCCTCAAAAATTCTATGGGGCAGTTCTACTCTGTCCTATAGGGTCGCTATGAATCAGAATCAACTTGATAGCAACGGGTTTAGGTTTTTTTAATAGGGTCACTATGAGGTGGAATTTGACTCAACAGCAATAGGTCTAGTTTGGAAGGAATGTAAACAAATCAGTTACATTTTCAGGAATACATCCAGTACGTAAAAAAAGATATAAAAACAATGAATTATTTTCTATCTAATCTTAATTTTAAATATTTTCATATTTAAAAAACATTTGACTTACTGGTGAAAGATTTCCCATCATTAAAAAGGCAGTAAGAGTTGAATCAAATAGGAATGCAATACGTTTTGTATATCCTGTAGATAGACTCAAACTGCTTATACTGGCTGTGTCAGCTAAAAGAAAAAACCATAATTTAAAATCAAGTAAATGAAAATTATTTTTTGCTATCATTCAGAACGAGAAAGTATTTTCAGAAAATACATAATTACATATAAGCAACATTATAGCCATAAGAGGTCCCAGTCTGACCTGTCCTACAGGCATACAGAAATTTTAAATTTTAATATTTATTTTGAAGTACATTTCTTAAAAAGCAATAATAAGTCATGACTAACTCAGACTAACGAGACTAACTAGCCTAACAACTTCAGGTAACTGAGCTATTCTGGGTAGAAATGAGAGTTGATGCTGTTCTCTTCTCTCCCAACACTAAACCATGTCAATTCCTTTGTCCACCATGCTCTGCCTTCCCTTTGAGCCTCCCCAAATATTTCTTCTCCACGAAAGCTTCTCTAACTTTTTAGGCAGTAAGAGGTCTCACCTGTTCCTCTTGCTCCCCACAAGCACAACACTTCTTCCACTGTTGTAGTTTTTTTGGTTACACTGCCTTTTCTCCCTACACCGCTAATTCTTAGAAAGAAGGTACCATATTCTTGCCAATTTTATACCCCTAAGACTTAACAGTGTCCAATATATGGTTAAGTACTCAATGACTGCATACTGAATGAATGAAATCCAGAACAAACCTATAAAGTAACTTGAAGTCTGGAGAGTAAACTCTTTATGAGCGTACGTATAGACATATGCAGTACCTATAGGCAGACTAAATTAAAACGAGTTACTGCTAACCTGGATCTTCCTGACTGTTTGTATCAGTATCAGTAGCCGACGAAGCTTCTTGTACAGGACTCCTACTTTCCCCGCCATCCCATGATAGGAGCATCTTTTGTGGATCTAAAGTACTCCTAGTAATGCAGAATAAATTCACTTTTTAAAAACTACATAAATGATCTTATAAAAATAGTTACTGAAATCAGTACAGGCAGTCCCTGGATTACAAACAAGTTTCATTCCAAAGTCTGTCTTTAAGTCGAATTTGTAAATAAGTCAGAACAGTTAGGTACGATTCGTATCTAATGTCAGTAAGTCAAATGTTTATCTTAGTATATAGTATACATTTCTATGCATTAAAGATATTAAAAAAAACACTTCCAGATACACTAAAACATCTTTAGCATAATAATACAGTAATAATAATAATAATAATAATAATAATAATATAACAAACAAATCTGTCTTGGAAGAAGCACAGCCAGAATGCTCCTTAGAGGCAAGGATGGCAAGACTCTGTCTCACATACTTTGGACATGTTATCAGAAGAGATCAGTCCCTGGAGAAGGACATCGTGCTTGGTAAAGTAGAGGGTCAGCGAAAAAGGAAGATCCTTAATGAGATGGACTGACACAGTGGCTGCAACAATGGGCTCAAGCGTAACAACAACTATGAGGATGGCACAAGAACAGGCAAGTATTTCATTCTGTTGTACACAGGGTCACTACGAGTCAGAACCAACTCGACGGCACCTAACAACAACAATAATGTGTTGATGAGCGTCACAAAGTAGCACCCGTGTGTAATTACAAACCATTGTATGTGCCTCGAATTTTTAATACATTAGGCTTTCAGGGGTTCACTCATAACTACGGGTAATACGTAAGTCAGACGTTCATAACCTGGGGACTATCTGTACTTAAATTATTGGCAATTATATAAAACCAGTCTGACAGTCAAGCCTGAACTTGAAATAGAACCCAAAGACCCTCTGCCCGTATACAGCAAGACCCATGGAAAGGCTTCAGGGAATTCAAGAACTCATCAAAATTACATGTAAAATATTCTATGTGCTTTTTTCTGGGAAGAAGGTTCTTAACTTTCACCAGATTCTAAAAAGATCCAGCACACACAGAAGAGTAAAAATAACTGATATATAGGGTTCACCTCAACTGATAGGTTGAGTAAGTAAAATTTTCATATGATTTTTTTTTCGAAAGGACACTCTAATATCTCATACTGAATAAATGAGTTACTTTAATCTGTTTACAGATGGAACATTCCGCCATGATGAATGAAGTTGATCCAAATTTATTACTTGTCCCTTCTTATGGGCAAAGCCCAATCGGCAATACATTGAAACAGCATTCTGAAAGGAAGATAACGGAAATTAACATTTAAAAGAAAATGACATTAGAATATTTGTAGTGAAAAAATACTGTAATAGGCAATGCTTGTAGTGATTCTCAAACATTTTCATTCCATAACTAGAAAAATCCACTTTCAGTAGACCTGTTTCTCCCCAAAGGTCTTCAAATATGTATGAGAAGGAATGGTTCCAACTCTCTCGCGTTGCCCTCCCTAGGTCTACAACAAAGCAGGAATCGATAGTTTAATTAGCCTCATTACAAGACTCTGACTAGGGCGCTTCCTAATGTACACGGAAGTGTGCATGCTCTTTCAATCCATGTGTTGGGACACTAACTCATGGGCCCTTATCTTGCTCTTTTCCATCTTTGCAAGCACCCCTACACTAGGCCAGTCAGTGCTTTGGATTCCAGTACTGTACAGCCAGTAGGACCCTGTCACGGATTGAACTGTGTCCTCCAAAAATATCTGTCAACTTGGCTAGGTCATGATTCCCAGTATTGAACGATCGTGTACCATTTTGTAATCTGATGTGATCTCCTTATGTGTTGTAAACTCTTATCGCTATGATGTAACAAGATGGATTAGCGGCAGTTATACTGACGAGGTCTACAAGATTTGATAGTGTCCTAAGCCAATCTCTTTTGACATCTAAGAGAGAAGCGAGCAGAGACACATGGGAACCTCATACCACCAAGAAAGCAGTGCCAGGAGCAGAGTGCGCCCTTTGGACCTGAGGTTCCTGTGCAGAGGAGCTCCCAGACCAAGGGAAAATTAATGATACGGACCTTCCTCCAGAGCCAACAGAGAAAGCGTTCCCCTGGAGCTGACGCTGTGAATTTAGACTTATAGCCTACTGGACTGTGAGAGAATACACTTCTCTTTGTTAAAGCCATCCACTTGTGGTATTTCTGTTATAGCAACACTAGATGACGAAGACAGGGACCAAGATGTGTATTCAGGGTTAAGGACAGGTACGAGGCACTGTTTAGTGTTCATTTATAGTTACTTAGTCTTTAATCCAACTTTATCAGAATTCAACATTAACAATTACTGAGCATGGGTCCAGGTAGTGAGACTGTTTGAAGTTTGCTATGATTCCTATGTGTCAGTTCTTTTGCCAGGAACTTAAATGGGACAAGGTAATTGGAAATACAAGAGTCAAAAAGTCCTAGGCCCCCTCACCAAATACAACCAAAAGCCCACCAATATACCTAACAACAAAAGTAATCTAAAAGCTAAGGGGGCCAGGAGAATCACAGGAAGAATGTCTTAGAAAGTTCAAAGGAGCTTGGTCACCCCATTCCCTAAGTTCAGAGCGTACAGGACTTCAGGGCTCTACAAATACAGTCTCCAGTAGCCACAGAGAGCTAATGACAATTTCAATGCCTCAGTTTCTCAGTAACTTATCAAGACAAAAATATATTAGTAAAATCGATTTGGTATTCACACTACAAGGTGAAGACTATAAAAATAACATACCTTCACCAGGGATAAGTCTATCTCAAGGACATTTGCAAGCTGGAAAATAAAATTAAAAATTACTTTTAGATTCTTAGAATTATCAGCATGTTACACAGCTGTAACAGATACAAATTAAAAACCAATTAACATAATTTTAAATAATAAATAATTGAAAGATTGAGTACATTTTGAATTCAGAACTTTTTCTTTCTATATCTCAGTAGTGCTAATTCTGGTAGTGACTATAATAATATAAGAGTCCTTACTCTTTAACTCTGACTCACTTAAAAGAAGAAAATCCCTAGATAGATCAATGTAGTCTACAATCCTTTTATTATAACGAGTCATACAAAAAGTTATTTAACCAAATTATAAGTAATTAACTTAAAAACGATTTTAAACACATATGCAGGAAGTAACTTGAGAATAGTGACATTTAAGCATACTAATGGTCTATGATCTATCCATGTATAGATTCTGAAAACAATTTAACCATGTCATTAAAATAATTTTGCCTACTTTGCTGTTGTTGTTATTACGTGCTTTTGAGTCTATTCCAACTCACAGCAGCTCCATGCGACAGAGTAGAACTGCCCCATAAGGTTTTCTTGGCTGTAATCTTTATGGGAGCAGATCGCCAGGACTTTCTCCCACTGAGCCATTGGGTGGGTATGAACTGTCAACCTTTCGGTTAACGGCCAAGCACTTAACCATTTACACCATCACAGCTAGCCACTTACCTACTTTACATAAACTTAGCTTATAATCTTGAGATTAAATTCTTTCATAAGATGTTGTCACACTTACCTCTGCAACATTAGTATGTTCATCTATTGAAACAAATATCTTATATAGTAGAGTTTCAAAATAATCACCCTGTACTCGATTCATTACAAAACCTTCAAGAGGAGGAACTAAAATAAATAAAGACTTTTCTCAGTGATGCAATTTTATAAAGCAAGAAAGCATAATTCAAATATCTATTCAAAAAGAGAAACCTCTAGCTTATGAACTGAATTCAGCTTTTGGTTTATTTTATCCACTTCACAGCAGATTTTCTAAAACCCCCAAAGTTAAGGCCATATACACCATGCCTACACAGAGAGGGCACTGATAGTAGAGCAAAAATCCTACAAAGAGCTATTTAATTCACCATGAAACTCCAAGAGTTAACTGAGGCAGAGGAAACGCTGGAGGATGTGGACTTGGTAGAAAGTTAAGGAACTGGGGCTGCTTCAGAATGGGAAAGCCTGCAAAAACGTGTTTCTGATGCCTTATAGGCAGGAGGGGTGAACGAGCAAAAACACAAAAGCAAAAGGACTACAAGAAAGAGCTGTATGCTCGACAAAAGCTAGGTAGACAGCATTGGCTCTCTTCATCTCTTCCCCTAGCACCCCACTCCACCTTGAGAAGAAGGAAAAGTTATCTTGGATTTCTATTATTTTGATAAGAGTGTGTACACCAAAATAACACAGAGATGAAAAGAAGGAATTCAAACAAAACCACCTCAATAGTGTTAAAATATAACGAAGAAGTGTTTTTCTTTGAAAAATACTAAGATCTAAGACTCTAGAAGGATCTGTGTCTAATTTATTCCAGTGATATTTCTAAAACCCCCAAAGTTAAGGCCATATACACCATACCTACACAAAGATGGCACTGATAGCAGAGCACGAATCCTACAAAGAGCTAGGAGGCATTTACAAAATGCTGAAAATGTTAACACATACGTACCTGCTATACAACTGTCATCAGATATTGGTACGTCCAGATAAATGAATCCTTTGTTATATAAACCTAAAGAAGCAAAAGTATCTTGTATTAGATGTAATACTCAGCAATAATAATTTAAAAAAAATTCTGATTTCTGGTTTTCTGTAAAAAGTCTTACAACTAAATGCTATGTGAAGAAGTAAAGAAAAAAGTAAAATAAAAGAGAAAAAGAATTACATTAAGGTTTTCAAATTTTGGTTTCCTACATAGGCACAGAACTACAAAATTTTTCTTACCATTCATTTGCATAAATTTCTAGTGTATGGGACTAATTACAATCATACTGGAAAACAATGAACTAAGGTCACATTTCAAATAATAACATGCCTTATGAAATAGTATTATCCATACCTAACTGATAAACAATTGCTATTAATCATCGGTGGTTAAAAACAAGTTTTTATGTCAACAAAAGATCATTTCTACTAACCACTTACTATGTACTACATTGTAATCTAGTGATCCAGAGAGCTGAGGACCTGAATCGATGATCTTATCAACAGTGCATTTCTCGGGCAAAGTGCATATCTAAGAAAAGCAAAAAATTTTCAGTTAAGGTCTGTCCAAATTAACTTACTCATACGTCTCCTGAAACCTATTCATGTTTAAAATAATGATTATATGTCATTACTCAAATGAACTACACATTAAAAAAAAAGTTGCTGTCAATTCCAACTCACAGCGACCCCAAGTGTTGCAGAGTAGAACTGCTCCATAGAGTTTTCTTGGCTGCAGTCTTTATGGAAGCAGATCATCAGGCCTTTCTTCCGCTGTGCCACCAACTTTAGATTAGTAGTTAAGGACTGCAAATCACCCAGGCACCTAACTACATATTACTTTCATTTATCACTCTAGAATTCAAACCCCCCCCCACAAAGAAATGCATATTACCATTAATTAAGGTACCAAAATATGTTACCAACAGAACTTAGAGACCAAAGTAACTATAAGTACCAATGTTTACTAGTAAGTAGTGTTTACTAATAAATCCCAATATTTACTCTTTTTTGAAAGTGGAATCAGGTTCATTTACTGATTCTGAATCTCTCAAATCAGAACTTTATTCAAACTTCATATTATTATTCTCAGTGACAGGAAGTTCACTAGCTTATGACACCGTTTGACAGCTGTTAGGAAGTACTTATACTGAAGCAAAGTCTGTTTTCCAAGCCTTCCACCCACTAGATTTAATTTGTCCTCTGGAGAACAAAATGCAGACTGAAAAAAGCCCACACGCTCACATACATTTCTTCAGCTACACACAGATATGACCTGGTTTCTAGACCCCTCACCACTCTACCCCTTCCCTCTAAATTAACATCCCTTCTAAGACGTATAAAGTTTACATCTAATGTCATCTGACCATCAAAAATACCATTTCCCTTGATCTTGACACTATCATCCTATCAAAGCACCTACTCTTCTTCAGTACAGCAGTTTAACACAGCATAGCAAACTGCCTGGGTTCAAACCCTGACTCTTTACTAACACTATTATTTGAGCAGTTATTTAACCCCTTTGTGCTCAATTTCCTCATATATGAAATGGAGGTACAAACAGCAAACAGCACATACCTCTGAGGTTGTTATGAGAATTAAATGAAACAATATAAAAAGCACTTGGAACAATGCCGAGCACTTCTGGCACACAGCAAGGGCTCAAAAACAGTTAGCCAATATTATTGCTGTTGTCAGTAGTGGCTGCAGCATCACATGTTGTTTTACATGAAACTTTTATCTAATTAATACCCCCAAATCATTGTCACGTGAACCCAGGTCACTATTAAAGCTTAACTTGGAAACCCATCAATATTCTAGCCTAATAAGATCATTTTAAATTGTGAATGTAGTTTAATTTCTCTTCAGGAAAACCAAATATTGGTTGTTTACAAAAAGATGAACTAAAATTCTTTTTAACTTTAAAAAATATATACCTTTATGTCATCTTCTGTGATATAACCAGCCTGCACCACCCACCATGCCTCTATGGTAATTTCCACTGGCTTTACGGGCAGAAGATCACGGGCTGTTTTCCTTCTGAAAAATTTCTGCAATGGTACAAACCATTTGAGATAAAACCTTTAATCTGCAGTTAACCTAAAATTACCACTTTCTTCTTTTATCCATTACATAATATTTCTAACAGGCTAAATACATATCTTTTTTAAACTCTCATGTTTTAAAATCTTAAATATTCTAGATGTATCAAATGGAGAAAGTCATTAATTCTTAAATTACTTCAAAACACTAATCGCTACCCCCTACATCCAGAAAATCAAATGAAACCCAGGAGGCAAAAAATGCATTTGGAACGTGTGCACTTTCTGTACTTATTTTACCAATTAAGTGAAACCTGGGAGTGGAATGAGCAAGTAAAAGAATAAAGACCAGCAGAATAAAATTAATTTTTAAAAATACATTAAACATATATGCCTTAAATATTTTTTAATTTGATAATCAGTTAAGCTATAACCTAGAGAATATTGAGCAGTCATTTTTGTATTTATGTTTCTGCATTAAGCATACCTTATTTTATAAAAGAAATAATCCATTATGTCTACTATTAAAAGAAATGGGGAAAAAGGGAAACTATCAACTTACTTTTGATGATCTACACTGATTCATAAGATCAATGTACTGGTTTCTTCCTATGCCAAGAAGTCTTAGACCTGAAAGTAAGAGCCTTTTCTTAAAACACATTTAACGCATCTTGAAATGTCAGTATACTCACAAATCTTCTGGGAAAAACTCTGTTTTTATTCATCTTTTCACGGTCAATCAGTATTATATTAAAAGGAATTTTTCAAATAAAGTATAAAAGAAAACTAAACTTCGGGAGAGATGAATGCAAACTCTGATATTTTTGACAATGCTAAGTCAGAAAATTTTTTAAAAGCAGAAGTCCTTCCAGTTTCAAGATGTCAAAGTGTACTTCTCAGCAAGTTTCCTCTTATACAACAGAATTATGTCACGCTTCAAACACACACTTCATTACAATAGACATAATAAAACACCAGCAAATTCTGTTAGTAAAAACTTAACCGTGTATTACACTACGAAAATACCACGCACAACTTTTCTTCCTTCATTTGGTATGCAACACAGCCAAGTAACAGAAAGAACGTCATTCTCTAGAAATACATAAATGAGTTCCATTTTTCTGATTATAATACCATTTCAAAATAGTCCTCTCTTAGACCTTTAGATTAAATCCCACACTCAACTTGTACCACTTGATAAAATTTCCACTAATAATGTCATCTGCTGTTCTCACCTTCCCAAAGTGTTTTAGGTTAAAAACAAGACACTGACAGACAAGTGCACAAAGACACACCAAACATTACCTCCTTCATCACAGTTAAATACTTACAATCAGCAGCAGTAAAATTGGGCAGTGAATCATAACTTTTCTCACTGTTCATAATGTCCTTAAAAAAAAAAAAAAAGTTAAAAAATTTTTAAATGTAAAATTTCCTTTGACAAAAGCACGTCTAGTATAAGCGTGTATCACTATAGCCAAACACAGTAACAATAATTATTACATGAAGCCCTGAGATCACGGTTTGGCATCCTGAAGCAGGCATGCCACGGTGTGGCACTTACCACATGGTCCCAACCCAGTAATTCAAGGTCAGACTTTCAGGTCTAGGTTTCTCACCGCACTGTGTATGAACCCGACAGCTGCCCTGTAACCTCTGCCCTGTGGGGGCTATGCAAGGAATACCGCTATTAGAGCTCAGGTTCCAGCCTCTCCATCTTCACCTGATCCTGACAGAAGGCCAAACGACGTGTCCAGAGCTCCACCCACGTGCATCAAAAACATGCCCTACTAACAAAGATTTTAACTACTCAGTGCTCTGTGCTCCCACAGGTACCAATCAGCAAGAGTTAAACTCAGTATCCAGTTGCTTCCAACCCCACTCTGTTTCTCCAGTAATAAACCAACTAACTGCTTAGTGTGGGGATAAGACCCATTTTCAGCCTAGGAGCTATACAAAATGGTGTAAGAACAGAAACCAAAGAGCAACAAGCACATAGATATAACTGGAAGGTGGGAAATAGTGCAACATTTTCCTATCTCCCCCCAAGCCTTGTGGACAACATCTGAAAAATGGCATAGCAACAACCATTCTATTTACTAATTAGCTGTCACCTACATTATGCTACCCAGTTCTAAGGAAAAGAGACTGACAGAAAGCTGGGCTGTCAGGCCTTACTCTGAGATTTTCTCAAAAACAGGGAAACGTAAAACATGCGGCTTGTGGTAGATTAATTACTTTTGAGTGTGGACTTTCTAGCCAGGATCTTGTAACTCCCAACCAGGTGATTGTGTGACAGGGTAACTGTGGCCTACCAAGGGGACTGGTTTTGCCTTAAAAGAGAGTCAATTCCAGAGAAGAAAGAGAAGCGCACCACCACCAAGGAAGGAGAGACCCAGCAGCAGAAATCCGGCAGCAGGAGACGGCACGGGGGGGGGCGGGGGGGGGGCGGGGCTTCTTGGCCCATGGAGAAAGCTGAGTGCCTCTGGGCAGAGACTAAGGGCCAGGGAGAGGCGTGCCTGCGAGCACGGCTGGGGAGAGGCTATCCTGATGGAAGAACTGTATGTATCCTGAGTGTTCTTAAGCCAGAATTGTAACTATTACTTCTCTAATAAACTCCATAATTGTGAGTATGGTCTGTGAGTTCTGTGTGATCATTGCAATGCATTATTGAACCTAGTAGAGAGTGCTGTGGGGAAAGACTGTTGGCGTCAGAATTGGTAAAGATGGCGCAGAGAGGAGGCATGTCTGACCTCTGCCTGGTAAGAATCTGCCTTGAGCTGTTGATCTCGATTCTCCTTTCCCCTTGTGAAGTAAGAGGAGATCAGACACTGTCCTCAAGCCGATTTTACAGTTGGCATCATAAGAGGGATTTGCTGCAATGGCTCCAGACTTGTGGAAGGATGGAACTTCGTAAGAGAAAGAATGATGAGGCTTGGGAAGTGGAACTTTTGATGATGGAATGGTTGCTTTGGTTTCTGTTACCTGTAATGGCTGAAAAACTGCACCTGGAGTGGCCTGGGGCAAAAGCCAGGCCAGATAAGCAGGATGATTGATAGGGGGCCAGGGTCTTCTGGTTCCACTCAGCCAGAAGCCCAAGGCCATACCCTATGAATGGGAAGACAGTTAAGGTATAGAGAAGACTAAACTGGAATGTTTTTTAAAAAAAAAAGGTTATATGTTTACGATTATGCATTTATCTGAATGCACTATGAATACTGAATGTTTCTCCTACCTAATGTAAACTAGACCTAAATGTATGGTAGAAATGAATATTGGGCATTAGAGACTACATAGAGCGTGTAACTCCGCCTTCAGCCAGTACTTGATTGGATATGCTAAAAAGGGGAACTAGGATTTGCCCAGGAGAAATAGAGGCTTTTAGTTTCAAGCCAGTAGCCCTGTGAATAGGTTGGAACCTTAGGTCTAAAACCTGAGCCCCACCCAGATTTGCATTTGAAAAAACATACAGAACTGCTGAGAGAACGGAAGATTTGCATTTGAATGAAGAACTTACCAAAAAAAAAGGCTGTTTTGCTTTTTGAATTTCAAGCTGTTTGCTGTTAGATGCACTGAGGCAGGAAAAAGTGCCCATCAGAAAAAACTCCCTTCCAGGACTGGAAATTAAAGGGAGCCAGCAAGTAGACAGTTTAGTCTGCTCGCCTGTGGTGACCACCTGGGTCCACTAATAGGTGGAAGTGGGGAAAGTGCAGCAATAAAGAGACGGGCTGAGTTTGGACATGTTCCATCGGCACCGTTCACCCAGCCCAGGGGGCTAGAGATGAGAGAGAGGCAGGGCTGGCTGGTCAGAAATAAAAGGAGTTGTTGGACTCCTGAAGTTTACAGGTTCTACCCATTGACCTAGCCCAAGGAGGCTAGGGATGAGAGTGTGAAAGGGCTGTCTGAAGAGCCAGGAGGTGCATGTGAACTCTCGAGCCTGAGGCTGAGATTCATTGTGACCTAGCTTGGAAGGCTAGGGGATGAGCTGACCAGACCCCATTGAATGAAAAGAAAGATGTTTGACATTGTGAGCTGGTGTAGATTGCTGCAATTTGACGGCTTCGGATGCTTATGGATGCAGATGCTCAAAGTTCCAACCGGAGCAGAAGATTCTTCAAGACCAAAGAACATGCTTGAATCCTCAGTAGTGGTTTGATACAGATGCGCAATTTAAACATTGGCTATCTAAAACGGGGAGATAAAGGCATTAAGTGGCTGGCTTACATGCTTCCGTGAGTGTGCTTACATTAAATGCGGGGGACAAGGGAGGATCCTCACTGAATAGATTCCTCTTTTCCTGGTGGGTCTGGAGAAGAGAGGGTGGGGGATGACACTGATAGGATTAAATGATTCAATTTTGAGTGCTGTTAACGGGTTAATTGTGATTGTAAAAACTGTTATTGTAGAAGCTGTAACTGTGAAAGAGCGGACTAAGAAAAAGGCACTGCTGGACTGGAGTAGTGTGGCCAAACCTAAAGTCCCTTAATGGTTTGGCTTATACTGATACCTCCTGGGGCTCAGAGAAAGGAAATAATCCTCTCAGTTAAATTTTAGCAGAGGCCAGAAAGAGTGAAGATGAGATGAACTGTTGGAGAACCTGACCAGATCAGATGGAAGCCTGCAGCAGACCTGAAAGGCTGGTACCTGAGTAACCTCACCCCGTGGACTCTCTACCCTAATGAAAGACTAATTGTTAATGACTGTTTTGGACTGGTAAAATGATTGGGAGGGGGAAGTTATCCTCCAAATACGAAAGAACCACGGCTAGAAAAGCCAGGGGGTGGCCTGCGGTGGATTAATTACTTTTGTGCGAGGCCTGTCTAGCCATGATCTTATAACTCCCACCCAGGTGACTGTGTGATAGGGTAATTGTGGCCTACCAAGGGGACTGGTCAGTTTTGCCTCAAAAGAGAACGAATTCCAGACCAGAAAGAGGAGCTCACCACTACCAAGGAAGGAGAGACCCAGCAGGAGAGACCTGGCAGCAGGAGACGGTACGGGGGGCCTCTTGGCCCATGGAGAAAGCTGAGGGCCTTTGGGCAGAAACGGAGGGCCAGGGAGAGGCATGCCTTCGAGTACGGCTGGGGAGAGGCTATCCTGATGGAAGAACTGTAGCCTGAGTGTTCTTGAGCCGGAATTGTAACTATTACTTCCCTAATAAACCCCATTAGTGTGAGCATGGTCTGTGAGTTCTGTGTGACCACTGCAAAGAACTATCAAACCTAGCAGATAGTGCCGTGGGAGGGGCTGTTGGTGTCAGAATCAGTAAAGATGGCTCGGAGAGGAGGCCTGTCTGATCTCTGCCTCATGGGAATCAGCCTTGAGCTGTTGATCTTGATTCTCCTTCCCCTTGCGAAATTAAGAGGTCAGACACTGCCCTTAAGCCATTTTTACAGGGCTGGAGAAGTACTTGTGAAGAAGGGGCTTAAGGAGATAGGCAAAGGGAAGTTGAAGCAAAGGAAGCCAGACTGCAAAGGGAGCCTACCTAGTTACCCTCACTGTTACTGTAGGTTCCCAACCCTTTTAGTTCTAGCCTTCTCTCTGCTCTTAACGTGGCTAGTGAACCCAAAACAGTAGCACTTAAACATAATTAAGTAGGTGAATACTAGATAAATACTGTCAATCTTTACATAAAGCTCATTTAAAAGTAATACATATAACTAGTATTTAAGGTTATTAGAACAGGCATAAAAACTGCCTTTGGAAAAAGGTAACATCTAAAGTTAATAATTACAGAAAGAGATGAGTAGCCAGGACTCTTTCTCTGTTGGGTCTACATCATCATTTGTTCTTTCTACAGTCAGTAAATACTTAAATACATTACGTTGCTCTGAGTTTAATGTTCAATTCATCACCCACATTTTCATCTTTAACCATGTACTGAAAATAATAAATTTTATGTAGACTCTGCTAACATAAATGACTGATTAATGCTACAATAGCACAAAAACAGGGTCAAGAACAGAATACAAACAGATACCTTTCCAATGTGAAAACACTGATAATGACAACTACTTGTTCAGGTGCGGCTAAAAGGGTTAACTTGTAACCAACAGTCCCTTTTACACTCTAAGCGCAGAAACCATGTCCGCTGTGGCTGAGAACAGCAGAGCTAGTCATCATCTGCAAAGTGCCCCTGACACGCAGCCCCAGCCCAATCCTAATGATCCAGCTGTACTGTAAACTCACCTCCATAATCCCAGTATAATATGAAAATGGTGTTATCCTCAGGCCCTTTACCATTATATCTGATAAATGGTAAGGGTATAGCATGAGATGATCTCGACTGTACTTCAGCAGTTCCTCATAGTATTTGCGTTCATCTTTCTTGACATGCTTAACTAGGGAAAATAAGAAATTCTGGGTTTTTTTTCCAGGTTTCTTATAGTTATATATCAATTATAAATGCAAAAGGACATATATTACAGACCAACATTACATAAAAAGTTGGAAAAGAACAAATACAATATTCTAAGTTGAAACAAAGAAACAATTACACTGTAAGAAACAGACTTTACAGAGTAAACAAGTAAAATGCGTAATAGAAAAGATAAGCAGAGAAATTATTCTTACCAAATCAGAAAGGAAGAGTGGAACCACCCGCATGTCTCCGAAAAAGGTGCAAAACATAGGATACAATGCAACAAATCCCTTAGCACAGAATACTGTTTTCCAAGATAGCCAAACTAAATGTGTTTTCAATGAAGTCCATTTAAAAAAAATGGTTTCTTTCCCTTACATTTTTTTAACTGTAAAAAGTCTTTTGACTTCCGTGCAATACATTTAAATAGAAAAAGTAACTCTGAAATATTAGGCTTAAAGTTAGAATGATACATGGGAGGGAAAGACTAGCAGGTCAACGGACTAATAAAAGTAATCAGACAGAAATAAAAGGCAAACATTTTTTTAAAAAGGAGTAAAAGAATCAAGAAACCAACTATGTTCAGTTTGCTTCAATTATTATAAAAAGACTTTCATTAAAGTTATATAATTTGGAAAATATATGCAGACAAAAACAAAACTCAAAGTCAAAATTTACTAAAAACTAATGTACTTCTTCCTTTCTAGGATATTTTCTCACCTGAGACAAAAACAGGACATTTGAATTAACATCCATATTCTATCGGTAAAAGAAATTTGCAAACAGTACTATTAAATAATTTTTATCAGAATTAGAAAAATCTACTAGTTAATATGAATTATCATTAGGTGGGATCAGTCAGTCTATAGTATTTTCCAAGTCTCTAGATAGAATAGTGCCAGTACTACAAAATATAAACTGAAAAAAACAAGAGATTTATGAAAATGATAAACCAGCAAGGCATTTCCACCTCAATGAAAAAAAAAGTCTCTACTTACCTAAGTTATTTCTGTATCGTAACTGATTGCGGATACTGTACAGGACAACCTGCTTTTCATATTCTCTCTGAGAATTTCCAAGACTCTAAAAAAAAAAAAAAATTCAAATAAGCTTTAAATAGTTTCTAAACTAAACAATATTACCTTTTTTCCCCATCAAATTTCAAAACCATGACCCTAACTTTATCCTGACATCTCTAATTTCCAGAAATAAACTGATGTTGTTGTTAGGTGTTGTCAAGTCGGTTCCAACTCATAGCGACCCTATGCACAACAGAACAAAATACTGCCTAGTCCTGCGCCATTCTCACAATCATTGTTATGTTCGAGCCCATTGTTGCAGCCACTGTGTCAATTCATTTCATTGAAGTTCTTCCTGCCTCTTTTTCATGGACCCTCTACTTTACCACGCATGGTAATGTCCTTCTCCAGGGACTAGTCCCTCCTGGTAACGTGATAACGTACGACGAAGTCTCGCCATCCTCCCTTCCAAGGAGCATTCAGGCTGTAATTCTTCCAAGACAGATCTGTTCATTCTTCTGGCAGTCCGTGGTAAATTCAATATTCTTCATCAACACCGTAATTCAAAGGCATCGATTCTTCTTCAGTCTTCCTTATTCATTGTCCAGCTTTATATGCCTATGAGGCAACTGAAAGTGCCAAGGCTAGACTCACGTGCACCTTAGTTCTCAGAGTAACACCTCTGCTTTAACACATGAAAGAGGTTTTTTGCAGCAGATTTGCACAATGTAATATGTCATTTGAGTTTTTGACTGCTGCTTCCATGGGCATTAATTGTGGTCCAAGTGAAAGGAAATCCTTGACATCTTCAGTATTTTCTCCATTTGTCATGATGTTTCTTATTGGTCCAGTTGTGAGAATGTTTGTTTTCTTTATGTGTAATCCATATTGAAGGCTGTAGTCTTTGATCTTCATCAGTAAGTGCTTCAAGTCCTTTTTCACTTTCAGCAAGCAAGGCTGTGTCATTTGCATATCACAAGTTGTTAATGAGCCTTCCTCCAATCCTGATGCTGCGTTCTTCTTCATACAGTCCAGCTTCTCGGACTATCTGCTCAGCACACAGACTGAATACATATGGTGAAAGGCTACAACCCTGATGCACACCTTTCTGGATTTTAAACCATGCAGTATCCCCTTGTTATGTTCGAATGACTGCCGCTTGGTCTATGTACAGGTTCCGCATGAGCACAATTAAGTGTTCCGGAATTTCCATTCTTGGCAATATTATCCATAACTTGTTATGATTCACCCAGCAGAATATCTCTGCATAGTCAATAAAACACAGGTAAACATCTGTCTGGTATTTTCTGCTTTCAGCCAAGATCCACCTGACACCAGCAATGATATCCCTCGTTCCACACACTCTTCTGAATCTGCTTGAATCTGACAGTTCCCTGTCAATTTACTGCTGCACCCATTTTTTAAATTATTTTTAGCAAAATTTTACTTGTGTCTGGTATTAGTGATATTGTTCGATAATTTTCACATTCTGTTGGATCATCTTTGAAATGGGGACAAAAATAGATCTCTTCCAGTCCGTTGGCCAGGCAGCTGTTGTTCAAATTTCTTGGCATAGATGAATGAACGCTCCCAGCATGGCATCCATTTCTTGAAACATCTCAATTAGTATTCCATCAATTCCTGGAGACTTGTTTTTCGCCAATGCCTTGAGTGCGGCTTGGACTTCTTTCAGTACCATCGGTTCTTGATCATATGCTACCTCCTGAAATGGCTGAACGTTGACCAATTCTTTTTGGTACAGTGACTCTGTGTATTCCTTCCATCTTCTTTTGGTGCT